TGGCACTTCTAGCAAGATTGTTATAATTTTAATTCAATAGATAACATGACCTATGTAATCCTTGAAATCACCACCTCCATTAATGTTATGCACAATGGTTACCTCCACTTCATGGGGATGGCTCAAGGACTTTGCTCCAAGATTTCTTTCCAAGACTGTGCTTGCAAAACCTGGGGGTACAAGAGGTCTGGGTGCAGGAGTTTGCAAGAGAAAAGTAGACTTTTCAGCATCATTATTTGAAGCTGGTGGTATAAGAGGCTCTTCTATTTCACTGCTTCTATGCAAAAGTCTCTTCTCATCTTTGGAATCATCCAACAGTGTGGCAAAGTCAAAATCACCTTTGTTCTTCTCTGGCTTCAGCTTCTGCTTTTCTTGAAATGCTTTCTGCTGTTCTTTTCTCATCAATTCAAACGAAGCTGAGAGGAAATTCATCAAATTTCAAACTTGCATTTAACTGACAGAAAAAACATACTGACCCATACTAGAGACATATGAAAGACTAACAAGAACAGAAGAAAAGTAAAAAATCACTTCTTCTACCAAGCAACCTCAATGACAAGAGCAAGTACCTCTTCTCTTTCTTTCCTCTTCTGCTCTATCCTCACTTGTAACCTCAGACGAACCAAACGTTTCATCATTCAATGAGTCAGTCATCTCCCTCCGCGAGTGAGGTGCTGCCTACAAATTATAGTAAGTTAATGAAGAATAACTAGGAGGGTTTTAATTCGCATTATACTGTTCTTCAAGAGAAAAACTATCTTATCAAAAAGAAAAAGATAGATAAAACTATGCAGCAGCATTTTAAAAGTGGTGGATACTTAAATCCACTACTGCAGGCATTCAGATTCTGAAAATTGTTTACAAAAACACATTCAAGCCACAAATAAGTAAAAGGCTTACCTTGTACGGGCGGGGAGGGTGATATGGCTCGTTGGTTCTATTGAGCTGGTACGTATCATTAGGTCGAACTTTTGGTGCTGATATCCCTGCAGTAAACCCAGCAGGTCTTGGAAAGGAACCACTTCCGAGTAGTCCATCATGCTCAGGAACCTGCCAAGACCGCTTCCCATAATGCCTTCCAGAATCTGTATATCGATACAGTAAATCAACAGGGCAGAAATTCAACAGTTCAGAATTGATTTTTCTAGAGAAATAGTCTAGCCTGATATCAGCACTACAGGGGTGGAATAAATGATGATATTGCCACCGAAATGAGCATGACACAGAATGAAGACAAAACATATTTCAATCGGAAATAAATTTCTTGATTTTTTCAAGACAGGAAATGAACATATTTTAAATACATTTGTAGTTCTACAGAGAAGAGAAATCCATATCAATCCACAACTGGACATCAAAATTCCTATATCAAATACCAATATGAGTAATCTAAAACTTTACCTGAATCCCTATCAGATTGCGAGTCACTATCTTTATCACTCCGTCCAGTGGAACGACTTTCCCACCTTCCAGGGATTGCCCGCGAATAACCAGCTACATCCCCTCTCGTGGGTGGGGACGAACCATACTCATTTCGCCTGAAACTATGTGATGACAAACCACTAGATATCCTTTGCCGATCTTTGAAAGCATCCTCGAACTCACTGATTTAAAAAGGAAAATAACTTAAACTACAGTCATACATAATGAACAAGGCTTAATATGATATACGAGTAAAGCAGTATTAGTAACCAACCAAACAGCAAAACCAGGCATCTATAATACAAAAATAACTTAAAAAATACAAGCTAACAACCGAACCAATCAAAAGAGGCATATCACCTTATAATTGACTGGTCGAACCCACTTGGCAACTTCTTGCAGATATCTAATTCACAAAACGACAGTAGGAATTCTCTCGTATATGATATTTTCGACTTCCTGGATCATAAGAGGAACAATATTGTTACAGTTCACCAATGACAAAGGAATGAAAAATTCATGAATAGATATACAAGAAGAACTACATCAATTAGTAAAACCAGAAGTGCCAAAGACAAATTTATTACTTTTGAATTTCGTTATCCGTTTCAGTAGGCTGATCTGGTGAGTGCGTGTCTTCATTCTCTAAGCTCATTCTGCAAATAGTCGATGCAAACAGTATATCCCAACTACAAGCTAATCAGAGTGTCCTCCCAACCGTAAAAACAACCACTCTTCAATCAACAGTCACGACTCCAAGCTCAAAAGGCAAAGCCCAAAAACCATATCAACATCCAAATCAACACAAGGGTTTCCTACCTCCACAGGAAGCTTCAATTTAATACATCCACTAATTGCCTAATTGCTACACCAATTCTAACCCAGAAAGTCAATTTGATACACAAAGTTATACAATTCAGTGCAAACAAATTAGTAAGCCCAGCTCAGGCATCACCCATTACCAAATCCCAAATCCAATTTCTCAACTCCCGAGCAATACAAATCAGCCCAAAAAAAGTCTAAGCCACTGCCACTAGACCCTAAAATAGAGCAAATCCATTCTCTGATCCAGCTCTATCTAGAACAATATCCAATACATCCAATATTCCAAAAACCACCGAAACTCTCCCTAATCAATCTTTGTCCAATTCAAAACACCGAAGCACAAATATATACACATACTAGTATGATCAACCTATTCTGCAAATCCAAACTCGAACCTTGCGTGGATTCAAGAAATTTTTATCAAAAAAATCCTCAAATTCTGGTGGGTATAAGCATCAGATGAGCAACAAGCCTAGGGTTTCTTTGCCTTCAAAATATATATTTTTAAGATCTTACAAACCTAAGGTATTATTATGCAGGAACTACCGGGATCCAAATGAAAAGAAAGGGACAGACAGAGAGAGCGAGAGAGACAGATTCACTGAAAAATTAGGGTTTGATTTCTGCCTTGTTCTCCTTTCGATCGAGATGAGAGAGAGAGAGAGTATAAGTGGGAGATTCAGAGCGCGAGAGAGTTGTTTAGAGAGAGAGAGAGAGAGACAAAGCGAAGGGTCTCCTGTTGCGGAAAAGACCTCCTTCACCTTCACATCGCTGAGAAATAAAATAATAATATTTTTAAATATTATGAAATACGTGTGACGCGCTTCTTTTACTCGTGACCGCACGCTCTCTCTCTCTCTCTCTCTCTCTGTTTTTTGTTTTTGTTTTAATATACTAGATTTTAGACTGATACATGGATATATTGCTTTCACCTCTTTATGTTGATAGAGTCTAGTCTAGCTAGCTCTACCTTCCCTCGCATTTTCCTTTTGCATTTTTTCCTTTCTTTTTCATCCCGCAATGCAATGTGTTGTGATAGTTTTATAGATCTTAAATCAATCGAATTGAAAATTATTCAACTTGTGTCATAACAATTAGGTGATCATGAACGAATCCAGTATTTTAAAATGAACTGAACTGGATTTAGTTGAATTTGGAGAAAAAAAACCGTTTTTCAAGTATGATATATAGATTTTTTATAAAGTATGAAAAATAGACTTTTGAAATACTAATGTTTTTAATGATAATTTTTGATAAAGTATGAAAAATAGACTTTTGAAATAATAATGTTTTTAATGATATTTTTGGTGGTTGATATTCCTTACATCTTAAATAAGCAAACACAATTTTATGATATTTTAGTATAAATTATACATTGACTTATTGAGGTATCAATACTGGTATAAAATGTATCTTATACTAAAACTGGATTTTCATATTTTGATTTGTTGGGAATTTGATTTTATGGTATTTTTAATTGAATCTAAATGGATAATACTTCCTTATTTACATTATAAACTTAAGTAAATGGGGTAACATAAAAATAAATTCAAGTAAACAGACAAGACATTTACTTAAATGTTTGGAATTGAAATAAGGTAAGGCAATATAAGGAAAAATGAAAGGAAGGCAATAGGTGGCCCGTGAGTGGCCCCGCCCAGAAAGCCCACTTAAGCCAAGCCCAATGAACGGGCTTGTTTCAATCCCTTTTAAACCAAAAGCCCGACAAGGCACGGTTCCTAGCTGGCTATGTCTATTTGACTAAATAGTTATGTTTTTGTGTGTGTGTAAAGACTACATCACATTTTAAAATATAATAAATAAAAAATCTGTATGATCTATGTACTCTATTTGACTAAATAGTTTTTTTTTTCCGTATAAAGACTACATCACATTTAAGAATAAAATAAAAATCCGTATGGGCTACGCACAATGAGAAGGTAAGTAGAATTCTTCTTACGTTCATATCTAACTTTAATTGTCAACCATTTAGTATAGTGACATTTAATGTCTGCTACATTGGAATAAGTTTTAAGTTTAAATCTTATCGACAACAATTTTTGAATATTACTCAAAATCAAACTTATGAGTGTATGAATCCTCTACTTTGTTGATATTATGAACTACATAAACACAGGGTGACCAATTGATATATGGACAATATATTCATCAAATTGCAGAACTGAAGTACTCTAATTGCTAAAGTGATTCATAAAATTGAAAGTAGAAGATTATATTGTGTTTGATTTCTACATCAACTATCAAAGCTGACTAAAGATAGTGAAAGTATGTTCAACCTTTAACATATGTTTTTTTGTTATTGAGAAATTTTGGGATTGCATTCATAATTCAACTAAAAAAGTCGTTAGCCACAAAAGGCCATTACAACAACGAAGCGATTCAACATCAAAATTAAGACAATCTGGTGCGGCTTCACTAACGATCACGCAGGATTGAAGAAACTCTAGCATAGACATCCCAACTAAGATTGCAAACTTAGAATAATCAAAAACAGCTAAGGCTTGAAAAAATCGAGCCATAACAATACAAATAAAACTCTCACAAATGAGAGATGAAAAGCTCTCACAAAATGAGAGGTAAAAACTACACAAAGAACCTAAAGAGTCTTTGTGACTTATTCCAAACATAAAGAAACTGCAAAATGAATGGTGGTGAAGATTCGATGCCGAAATGCTATTGGAGATCTGACATCGAGATGCAGCGGCCTGTGATGATTGAATGAAAATCATAACAAAATGATGACAAATAGGAGAAACCTTATGTCACTGAACATGGGGAAAGATGAGAAAAGAAGAAGAACAGTGGCTTCCTCCCCTTCAAACTGAAAACATTTTTATGAGTGTTTTTCGAGAAAGAGGAGGCAAAAACCTTAATGTATGTTCAACAATAGTGAGATTTATTGAAAATCTATATTGAATATTGATGTCAATATAAGAAACACCGAAATTGAAAAGAAAAAAAAAATCAATAAAATAGTGATGTAATCAATTAAAGTTGTAGATACCAGATAATGGAAATTTTGGAATGAAATATTCATCTATCTCAAGTGAGCCAGGTGCCTAATTGGATTTTTTGGGGTTTCATAAATGCTTTTAATCCTTACGTTAGCTTCTTTTTTTTTTTTTTTTTTTTTTTTTTTTTTTTTTTTTTTTTTTTTTTTTTTTTTTTTTCTCACCTCTTTTTTATGAGAGTTTTAATTTGTATTATTATGACATAGTTTTTATAAGCTTTATCTCTGTTTGATTAATATGAGTTTGCAATTTTAGTTGACATGTCTATGCTAGAGTTTCTTCGGTCATGTATAATCGTTAGTGGTGGCACATTGTTTTAATGTTAACGTTAGATTTCTCTGTAAGAGGTTTTTTTTGCTGAATTATAATCCAATCCAATAATTTATCAAAAAATAACTTAGCGCATTCATATGAATCTATCATCATATCAAAAATTAAAATCTCTTCCTAATAAATTGAAAACCCTAAACTTGGCGATCAAAATAGAAAACGTAAGGACCCAATTTTTACTAAGGCTATTAAATTTGGGCAGCACATGTTTTACCATTGGCTAACATATATTTTTCTTTTGGTCAATTGGCTAACATATAATACTTGATCATTTTCTTCCAAATGTACCTACCTTATCCTATTTCATTCACAGAAAGCCATATCCAGTAATCACCCTCAATCTTGCCCAAATTCACAGAAAACCTACCTCACTCAACACTCTTACAGTCACTATCGTAAATAAGTTCCAAACTGAGGTCCTTTCCTCACCTCACGCCCTAAACCCCTACCCTCTTTGAGTCTGAGTTCAAATAACACGCGGACACTGGAAGAACGGAGACAGCAATGGCCTGCCCTTCGCTCTTACGCTCTGCCACGTCATCGTTTCACGGTCAATTCCCAGTTGTTGTGTCACCTCCACCTTTACGACTGTCGTACGGAAACCCTAGAAATGGGGGCGGATTGGTGATGCCGGTGAAGGCCTCGGCGGTAGTGCTGGTGGAGAAGTCAGAGGCAGAGAAGGTCAGTCGGCTCAAGACCACTTACCTTGAAAAAATCGTTCCTCAGCTCAAAGAAGAGTTCTCCTACACGAACATCCACCAGGTGAACAAAACCCACCATTTTAATTTTGATTTTGATTTTTGTTAATTTTTAATTTTCTGGATATGGGTCTCTTCAGGTTTTAGACAATGTATCTGGGTTGATTTAAAATTATATTGGTTGTGCATCTTTACATGCAATGGTTATTAAAATAACGAAATGGGGTTAGTTGTTTTGGTTGGAAAATGGCTCAGTGTGTTGTTTTGTTGCTCCTAATTTTAGGAACTAGGTGAGAACTTGAGTTTTTAGATTATAAATTTTCGGCTTTCAGAGGCTAACCAAACATCTTTTCGGTTTTCAAGATTCAGTGCTTTACTATTGTGTTATATTTCTGTTATTTCTGCAATGTGGAACTTGGCAGGTTCCGAAGATTGAGAAGGTTGTTGTGAACTGCGGTATTGGAGATGCTCAACAGAATGCTAAGGGATTGGAAGCAGCAATGAATGACTTGGCGCTCATTACCGGGCAGAGACCCGTAAAGACACGAGCAAAGGTTTCCCTTGCTACCTTCAAGATCAGGGAAGGCCAGCCACTTGGGATTGCTGTCACACTTAGAGGAAATGTGAGTTTGCTTTTCCCTCTAAATAGTGTATCTTATCTTCTGCTTGATTTACGTAGGTACTAGCAAGACTGATTTTTGTGAGCATGTCTATTATTCAGGTTTCTTATCATCTCCCGTTCAATATTTGAAATTTTGTTAATGAAAATTTAAGACAACACTGTAAATCATGTGGAGGCCCATCTGGAAGTTCTTTACATTATGATGGTAACACAATACTAATATCTTGTTGCTAGTGTAACATATCGTTAATAACGGTACCAGAAAGGAGCAGCTTCTTCATTTCTGTAAGGTTACCATAGGCAAAGAGTGCCTATGAATGAAGATCAATGAACTATGGTGCAATTGTTGGTGCTATATGTGCTCAAAGGATTTGAACCAGTATTTCCTGTGGCAATACTTTTCAAAAATGTCTGTTTCTCTCAAAAACCCAAATGCATCCAATCTCATGCACTAGACTTACTATTCTATTTTGTAGGTGATGTACTCATTCCTTGATCGGCTGATTAACTTGGGACTTCCTAGGACAAGGGATTTCCAAGGTCTAAACCCAAATAGTTTTGATGGAAACGGAAACTATGCCGTTGGCATTAAGGAACAGAGTGTGTTCCCAGAGATCCGGTTTGATCTTGGTAAGGGCAGGGGAATGGATGTTTGCATTAGAACAACTGCTAAAACAGATAAAGAAGCTCAGACACTTTTGGCTCTGATGGGGATGCCATTCAGAGAGACCGGCCCTGTTAGTGCCGTGCGCAAGAAGAAGCTCAAGTCTCACCATTTCAGTTCAAAGGGAAGGGGACGAAGATGAGGGTTTTGCCGTTTCGAGAGGATGACACTTTGCTGTTGTTTTGTATTCCTGCCAAGTTAAAACCACCAACAACAGTTCTGTAACTTCTGTATGTTCAATGAATATGATCTTTATTCTTCTTGTGTAAATTATGCAGCTGTGAATGGCTAGTTGCCCATTGCTTAAAACAAAACCATTGTGTCGTAAATTGTGGTTAATAAAGAAAAAGAATCTCAAAAACTAAATGAGTATAATTTATGTCACTATCAATCATAAAATAATTCTGATTAAAACTTAACATTTTCCTAATCCTGATCAAATATATCGATCTTTACTAAGGACGTAGGTTCCCATCAAAATGTTTTTGTCACGTGTGAAATATTAGCAAAAGATAATAATAATAATAATAAAGAAAAAAAGAAAGGGATATGATTTCCCCATTTCCCTTTTTTCCACTTACACTCCTTTTGGCTTTTTAATACTTTTTAATCAATTTTGTTCATTCTCTTTCCTATTCTACCTTTACCCTCCATTAATTTCTTTTTACTTCACTTTCACGTTAGTTCTTTTTCTTTATACTTAATTTTCAAACTCGCACTCCATTTTCAGTTTTTTTTTTCCTTTAATCGAGTAAGAAATTAAGTTTTTTTTCTTCCTTTAATACTGAAAATGGAGTAAGTTAGAAAATTAAGAATAAAGAAAAAGAAATAGTATAAAAGTGAAGTAAAAAAGAAATTAATATAGAGTAAGGGTAGAATAGGAAAGAGAATGAACAAAATTGATTAAAAAGTATTTAAAAAACAAAAGGGAGTATAAGTGTAGAAAAAGAGAGTGGGGAAATCAGCTCCCAAAAGAAATTATCTCATAAAGAGTGAAAATAACCACCAAGAGTGGCCAAGTGGTTTGTCCGCCATTTGGATAAGGCTCTGGGGTTCGGTTGGGTTTGCTCCCTAGTTTGAGTCCCAGCAGTTTCAACACCTAGTGGCAGCAGCATTCTCAGTTCTATGAGTGAGGATTAGTTGAGGTGCGCACAAGCTGGTACGGACACCTCATGGTACTTGCTATAAAAAAAAAAAAAAAATGAAATGACTGCTCTGTTTCACACTGCTACAGAGTGTGATGCACAGGAGAATATTTTGCCACCATAAATTTACGCCCGTGTGAGAAATCTCATTAACTACTTAACCCTGTTTTTTTTTGGAGAAACTGCATAATTAAACCCAAAACTTAAAAAAGAAGAAAAGAGATGAGCATGAATCAGATAGCATTTGGAACTGGAATAGCAGGGGTGAGAGTATCAATGGCGAAACCATGGGCTGTCAGAGCAGAGCTACCCAGGGCTCCTGATCTATGTGCTGACCGCTCCATTCTGCGAAGTGGGTCTTCCTCATCTCGCCGTCGTGACCTCGTTTTCGTCGTCAATCCTAGCGGTCTCTCTCTCTCTCTCTCTCTCTCTCTGTGTTTTTGTGGTTTTGTGTGTAGTGGGTTTTGTTGATTAGAGAAATGGGAAATTGGAGCAGGTGCTAATGGGAGGACAGGTAAAGAGTGGAAGAAGCTGCTGCCATATCTAAGGTCTCGCCTTGGTGCCGATTGCAATGTGAGTTTCTTTTCTCTCTTTGGTTATGACCTAGTGATTGCGTATTTGAGCTTGACCCAGTGATCCAATTCTAATTAACTAATTCGTTGGAGGTTGGAACTTGTCACCCACTAATTTTTTGTTACTGTTGGTTGTACATCCATTGCTTGTGTTGTGTTTGTGCCTTGGCAACCAGTAAGATCACTAGGGATTTATTTCTTCCACGAAATGTCTATTTATCAACTGGTATTATGCTTATTTAATTTGAAGGGAAAACATTCTTTAGATTATATGATATGAATTGTATGAATTCATAAATCATTTATGCCCAGGAAATTAAAGGCTTTTTTTTTTTGGTAAAGCATTTTTCATTGTTGTCCCTCATATAAAAGGTGTTCATTATCGATGGTTCTCCAAAGTGCTCTGTGGTTTGAAGAACCTTTCGCTTATTTTTTTACTTTTTGGTTCTTTCTTGTAGTGAATTTGGTGATCGCGTGCGTGTGTCTGTGTTAACTCAATAGGTGACATTGACCATATCACTCTATTCAATTATTCATTTGCAGCCTGTGCTTCATCTGTTTTGTTTCTGTATTGAGGCACACTTGCTGAACTTATATACTTTCACTTGTTTATGTTATGGGCAGATATGCGAATCTTTAACGTCAGGTCCTTCTCATGCAATTGACATAACGAGAGAGGTGGGCTTTGTTACTTTTATTATTTGAGCTTGACCTAAATCCAGTTTCTATAGAAGATTGGTTTAAAATGGGCTCTATCATTCATATGCATGCAGGCTATAAGGGAGGGTGCTGATGCTGTAATAGTGGTGGGAGGAGATGGAACTCTGCATGAGGTGCAACTTTCTCTGAGATTATAAAATTCGTGGAAAGATTGTGTCAACTAGTCTCACTCATCTACGTTGGCTTGTAATAAGCAGGTTGTCAATGGATTCTTTTGGGCAGGAAAACCTGTTACTAATCATGATAGAGAGGTCACCCATTCAACTGCACTCGGTGTAAGTGATTACCATGAGAGTCTATTAATCTTAGTTTCAAATTGTTTATTGTTGTATGTAAATGAAACTTCATCTGCGACATGTTCAATTGATCCTTTAACATTAACGGCCTGGTTTCGATGCTTTGGATTTCTGAAGAGAATGTATAACTTATTTTGTGCTTTGTACAGCTCATTCCTTTGGGGACTGGGTCTGATTTTGCCCGAACTTTTGGCTGGTTAGTTCATGCTTTGCAATCTGGTGTCATTTCATAAATTTCTCTAAGTTTAGAATTGCTCTAAATGGTTGAATGTCTGTTGTTTTATTAGGAAAAATGATCCTCATGAAGCCATTGACCGCATAGCTAAAGGTTCTCTCTCTCTCTCTCTCTCTCTCTCTCTCTCTCTCTCTCTGTGTGGCTTGCTTAGGCTTTATTTATTTTATCTTTCTAATTTTGCTCACTTTTGTATTGCGCGTCTTTGAATCGAGATCGAAGGAAAGCTTTCACTTACTGTATATTTGTATTGTGTTTGTCATTTATAATATGGTAAAAGGATAATTGTTTTTTGCAGGGCAGAGATCACGGATAGATGTTGGTGTTATTAGTGGAGAAGATGGAGAACCCCATTACTTTGTTAATGTTGCTGACATTCATTTGTAAGGTTAACTTGGAAAATTTGACAATTTAGTTTCAAAAAAGGTACATGCTGATCTTAGAAAGTCTTGTTGCCATTTTTTGGGGGGATATTTTGCAGGAGTGCAAAAGCAGGATACTATGCTTCTAGATACAAGAGATTTGGCAACTTGTGCTATGTTATTGGTGCTTTGAAAGCCTTTGTTGGGCACCGTAATCAGGACCTTAAAATCAAGGTCAATATTTGTAATGCATTGTGCACTAGTAGTCAGTAGCCTATTGCTTGCTTGTTTATTTTCCATACAGACACTCGTACCATTTTTTTAGCTTAATAGAGTGTTTTTAGTTTAGGTCAATGAAGGGGAGTGGGAACTATACTCTCAAGTAACAGCCCTTTGCATCGGAAATGCAAAATTCTTTGGCGGTGGCATGAAAATTACACCAAATGCTGACCCTCACAGCGGCAATTTTGAGGTGGATTAGTGTTTTCTGCATATAACCTTCCTAACTTTTCACAAATTTTACTTTTTACTTTTTTCATATTTTATATAAGGTACTTTATATATTGCAATGTTTTTCCCAGTATGTTTGATCTTTGTTATAAACTTTCTTGGCAGGTTGTGATTCTTCAGGACTTCAAGTGGTATGACTTTATTCTGAAGCTACATAAGCTGTACAATGGGACACATCTAACAGTGAAAAATGTATCTTCAAGAAGGTAGGTCTTGTTAGGTGGAATACAATAACATACTGTTTATGTTCCTTGCTCTCTCTCCCTCTCTCTCTCTCTTTTCCCATGCATACATTTTCCCTGTTTCTTTATTTGTAACCAACGGTACTCATCACATCAGGATGCATACATGTAGATTTCTGTTTTGAATTGCTTAAGATGTCAGGACTCAAATGATTTAAATTGGCTGCTTGAGTCAATTCATCTGCAGCTATTACATGTAGTGATTTGTCGTTGGATTGCTTTTATACATTTGTGTTCTTGTTGCAGCGTGCACTCTATTGAAGTGGAAGACGTCTCAGGCAGTGGAAGCATTTATGTTCAATCTGATGGTGAACATTTAGGATTCCTGCCTAGGAAATTTTGTATATTACCTTCTGCAGTCGAGATGATATGTTGACATGAACCCAGGAACTTGTAGTCCTATTGAAGAAATTTAGAAGTTTGCAGAGAAAGCTAAGCATCAGTTCTAATGCTAGAGATGAAATGAACCGGGAAATTCCTTTTCGTGGAATAAGTAATCAGACAGTTTATACATACAAGCGACTAACATTACTGAAGCTCACAAACTGTAATGGAATTGCAGCTCATCATAACGGGTCACTAACTTCTAACTATTCATACAATCTCCGATAGTCAAGCCAAAGCAGCTGACATGACATCAGTTCTGGTGTATGGTGGTGTGTTGTAACTTGTATGTTAGACTACACTCTGTTTTGCTGCCTACTGGCATAATGTTCTGTATTCCGGCTTTGCTAATATTTTGGTATTCTCCTAGCTTATCATCCCCCCTCAATCTGGAGGGAAAGGATTTGTTACATTCTTTGAATGCATCAACTTTTATTGGTAACTGCAGCAGGAGCAAAAGTAGCCTGAATAGAAAACGCAGCACGGCAAGAGCACACTGTGTTTCTCTAGAAAAGGAGAGGCGTTTCAACCGCAGTAAATTTTCTTACAGTGATGAAAAATTTAAGGTGCATGTCGATGTGGTCACCAGTTTGGTAGTTAAAAGTATTTTTTTTGGCTTTCAAGGGCCTAAAAGACTGAAACTACATTCGTCAATTTATTTATGGCTATCATTCACTGTGGTCCTTAGATCTTTAAGTGACTCTGAGACAAACTTCACAAAACTCTGTCCAACCACCCTCTCTCTCTCTCTCTCTCTCTCTCTCTCTCTCTCTAAATGGCAAATATTTTCTCCCATGCTTCCATTACACCCCACCTCACTGCCCAGCACAACAAGAAGTACGTCAATTTCCAGCCAAACCATCGATACAGTGTCTACAGATTTCGTTGCAGTGGAGAAAAGTTAAATCAGACAAGTGATTCACCAACTGATAAACAATCCCAACCTGAAAAGGCACTGCTTAAGGTGGCTTGGTATAGCTCTGAGCTTCTGGGAATTGCCACGTCATTTTTCCGGCCACCATCGAAAGCCGAAGCTCCTGAAACTGCAGCTCTTGAGCTTGCAAGAGATGGGTCAGGAGCAGTTGATCGGGCCATGGTAGTAAAATCCATCAAACAAGACTTTGAAAGATCATACTTTGTCACAGGTTTTTTAGAACCCAATTGAATTTTGTTGGTCTCTTGTTTCTCGTCTCTTTTAAATGAGCGTTTATTGTTAATTTGGTTTATGCTAAGTTGCTAACTGGTGGACAATCTTTACCTTTAATTACTAGGGAACCTTACCCTTGATGCATATGAAGAGGATTGTGAATTTGCTGATCCAGCAAGTTCTTTCAAAGGGCTTCAGCGTTTCAAAAGGAACTGCACAAATTTTGGGTCCCTTTTAATGAAGTCTAATATGAAGCTCATGAAGTGGGAAGATTTTGAGGTAACATCACCCTTTAAAAATTCCACATTTCCTTCCATGTTTTCCTCATTATGTTCGTATATAATATACATACACATATATACTTATATACAGATATAAAGTTTTCATCAAACTTTTGGTTGCAGGATAAAGGAATTGGTCACTGGAGATTTAGTTGCATCTTGTCATTCCCTTGGAAGCCCATTCTATCTGGTATGCTTTTAGCTTTATCCTGTAGGGGTCAAAAACCATTCAGCTAGCTAACAAACCAAGAAAAAAAGTGCTTGTTCTAATCTGAATTCTGAACCAAATGTTGCAGCAAGTGGATACACAGAGTATTATTTTGATGAACTCTCTGGGAAGGTTTGCAGGTAACTTTGTTACAATGAGGCAACTTTTTCTTATCTTTCCAAGTTTCCAACCTTGTCACTTAACTGGCTGTTTATGGAAATTTTCAGGCATGTAGAGCATTGGAATGTTCCCAAAATGGTTTTACTGAAGCAAATTCTGAAGCCAAGCAGAGGGTTTTGGCTTAAGAAAACAGGTGGCTGAAGAATTTGCTGGTGAATAATATTAGCTAATTGTTGGTTTCAGAGACATACTGTTGGAAAAGTAGGTTGAATTGAATCAGACTCCAAACATGGAAAGGGAGGTCATAACTGGCAAGTTATGCCTAATTTTTCTCGAAGTTATATGATCAGCAGTTTGCTGGTTTATGTGGAAAACAAGTTGTATTTAGTGAAGGATGTGGTGGTTGTCATTAATTAGGCATTATTTGTTACTTTGTAGCCTCATAACATGCATGTAATGACGGTCTGCAAGACTCTAATATACGACCTCCAATATATAAGTTTAAGGTCCGCTATGAGCACGTTCATAGTCAAATATATGTCTCCAAGTCACATAACCGTTGCCCAAAAATAATAATTGAAAGTAGAGAAAGAAAGTATGAAAGTAGGAGAAGAGAGAATCATGTTGTGGTTGTATATCAAATGTGAAGAGGAATGACTTTTTATAGGCATCCAACATTTGTAACATCGAGACATATTAAACCAGAAATTTAAATTATTAAACATAAAAATAAAAACTGAAAACTAAAATCTCATAAACAACCAAAAGAATTAAACAACATTTAAAATTCGGATCGGTAAAATTTTAAAACCTTTTAAATGCCAACAAGTACAAGCCTTTTATATCAATGCCCAAAAATGCATGTGAATTTGGTGTATACCTTCTCGGAAAAAACTACCACCCCATCGGTGCATGCATGCTAAATAGAATACAATGCAACAACTTTACAAAAAGAAGTGTGACTGTGTGATGTCTGTTTTTCTTCGCAGAGGGAAAAGTTTCTTCTTCTTTTTTGTTGGAAAAAAAATGCTTTATTAAAAACCAAAAAAAGAATCATAAGATCAGACAATGAATCTGACCAAGAAAAAAAGATCGGACAATGAATAGGTCATACATAAAATGAATAATTTATTGAATGGCCTCTCGAGTGATATATTTGTTTTTGTTTTGTTTAGTTTTGGGCTTTGCCCAAAAGGTTTCATAAATAATACGAATATTTTTTTGATACTCGAGGACGAGATTCGAACATAAAATTTTGAGTGTAAGTGCACCCGAATTACAACTCTACTAAATAATATGAATTATTGATTAAATAAATTATCGTTTGAACATACCGTTTGAATTAATAATATGACAACATAATATATTAGAAAGTTTGTGGGGCTAGTGAATTTTTTTTTTTTACTTTTTATTATAAATGCTTCTGAAAGATAAGAAAATTGATTAATAGGGTTTGCTTACGATTTATAAGCATTCGGGTAAAAAAAAAAATCGAGTCGGGTAGAAGAGGATCCGGTTCGTTTGCTTCTATTTATTCGTACGAAACACGACTTCAACTCGTCAAAACCTTTCTCTCTGCACCGTCTTACTCAGCCATGGCGTTCCCCTTTTTGGAAGCTGTTATCGGTACTTTACCCATTTCAATATCTCCTTCCATTTATTATCAATATTTGCATTTTATTTTCCTTCTTTGATTTTTTTATTTATTAAGTTTCTGAACTGCTTGCTTTTAATTGAGAGTCATCTTCTTCTTCGTCTTGTTGCCTGTTATTCAGATAAGTGTGTTGCATCAAAATTTCGTTTTGTGAGTACTCATTTGCTTTTTGTTTCTTTTTGGACTGAGAACTTTGTGGATTGTGTTTAAATTTTTTTTTAAGAAATATTTTTATCCAAATTTTGGTTTTAATGAAATCCTAGGGCTTTTCAAGTTGAAGTTTTTATCTGTATTGTCTAACTGCGATTGTTTTAATGAGCTTGGTGTGGGGTTTCTTTGTGGGTGTTTGGATTGGTTTTCATGTTTTCAGATAGAAGAATTTATGTGTGGTTTCTAGGAAAATGTGGATACTTTGTTCAGTTTGGAAGTTTGAACGGTTGGGTTTTATCAAAATGTGGCGCGACAACCTAAAATGGTTTACCTTTACCGCTTTCTTTCCCATGAAGATTGAACCATTGGGCTTAAGATATAGTTTCTGCTTTATATACTCAGCTTTTATTGGTATCTAAAGACGGTTAGAGAAATAGTGGTCATCTCAATAGCTAACAGAGTCATCAAACCACTCATTAAGAAATGGGAAGACTTGTCAACTACACTCCCCAGCCCCCTCCCCCCTTTTTTCTTTTTATTTTGTCCCTTTTCTCTCTCCATTGTGGTCATTCTTTCTGTTAATTTTCTTGTCTATGCTGCGATTTGGTAGTTTTTCAGTTTCCTTTCAACTTGTGATTCGATTGTTTCTTATCTCACTTTGTTTTGAAATGACTTCCAGCGTTTTCGGAGCTTCTTTATCTTTGTTTTCTCTTTTCCCTCTCCCCATCCTGTTTCATTGCTTGTAACTGCTTTTACTTTCTAATTTTTATTACAGGTTTTATGATATTAATGTACATCTTTGAAACTTATTTGGATTTGCGCCAACATACTGCTCTCAAACTTCCAACCCTTCCTAAAACTTTGGAAGGAGTAATCAGCCAGGAAAAATTTGAGAAATCACGAGCCTACAGTCTTGATAAAAGGTATATCTTCCTTGCCATTCTCATTTATAATCTTAATAGACGTAAATGTGCACAGTTGTGCTTCCCTAATGTATCTTTCTTCACTTTCAGCCACTTCCATTTTATTCATGAGTTTGTGACAATACTGATGGACTCGGCAATTTTGTTCTTTCGGGTGTTGCCTTGGTTTTGGAAGGTTAGTAATTGGTAATGTTGTTAGTGCAACCCTCCCTTTCTGCTCTACTTTCATTGCTTAATTATATTTGTTTTTATTTTCAATAATCACAGAGATCAGGAGACTTTGTGACTTTGGCTGGCCTTAATGCCGAAAATGAGATACTGCATACACTTGCATTCTTAGGTGGTGTTATGATTTGGTCACAGGTGCGCACATGATTTTCTTCTTTCAGTATGTAAGATAATTTTTTTAGCTTCATTGTGGATACTGGAATTTTACTTAAGTGTGCTAACCCCATCTTTAGATGTTGTGAAATGTGTACCTGTACCAAGTGCATTAATAAATCTAGTGCTCTCATAGACTATATATATGTTGTTTTGGGGGTTTTTGGGGTGGTGGGGAAGCCTAGTGCCCTAGTTGTGCCGAGGCTTGCTGTTAATGGTTTACTTTATTCATTACCTTGATGGTTTGTACAAGTTTTTGGTCGTTATCTGAGCTAATGGGCTAACAGTTAGTATGAAGGCTCTTTTAATAATTCCACAGTGGATATAGTTTTGGTTCGTACAAGGTTGGTAACATTGTTCCATAAGAAACTAATCGTCATGTTGTGCTTTAACATCGTGGCTGAAAAGCTGAATGACTTGTGGTGGCATGGCTTACAAAGTTCTGAGCATTTATTAGCAATCCCATTAGTATTTGCATTGCCATGATTTTGAAGATCTATTACTTTATTGGGTTACAATCAATAGTTTGTTTCTTCTGCAGATCACTGATTTGCCATTCTCTCTGTACTCCACATTTGTGGTTGAGGCTCGTCATGGTTTTAATAAGGTTTGTATGTGTAATCAGACTTCCTTATCATGTTGCATCTCCAATAAGTTTCTGGTTATTCGTGCTCTCTTATTGGATAGTATTAATCTTACTACTGCTGTACTACCACTACTACTATCAGTTTTACTACAACCACTACCACTATTATATTATTATTTCTTAGGTTCTTCGTCCATTTATTTTCTCATATCTTGTTGCTATCTGTTTGTTTTACAGCAAACAATATGGTTATTCTTCAGAGACATGGTTAAAGGAATCTGCCTTGCTGTTATTCTTGGCCCACCTATTGTGTCTGCAATCATTGTAATTGTACAGGTAAAGCCATATCTTAGCATTTTTGTGAGCACCTTTTTATTTGCAGTGCTTGGTTCATTTGAATTGATTTAAATTGATCGTTGCGTCTGGAATCCTGAGATATTTGTGGTTAGAGTTATTTCAGGGTTGTGGGGAAGGGGAGGTGGGTTGGTTCTGCGTTGTCTTTTAAATACTTCAACTTTAAGTTATCTGCATCTAGTACGACACAGTGCAAACCATCTTCACTGATTGGTGTTATTTCATGTTCAATTGTGTGGTTGCAGAAAGGAGGTGCTTACCTGGCCATCTATCTATGGGCATTCATGTTTGTTCTCTCTCTTGTGATGATGACGCTCTACCCTGTTCTAATAGCTCCACTCTTTAACAAGTTCACACCTGTGAGTGTTCAAAATATTTGTCATTATGAAATTTATTTCTCCTGTTTTTATGTTTGATTTCATCATCTTGTTCTCTTTGCTATGTGCGAAAATAGCTTCCAGAGGGTGAGCTCAGGCAGAAAATTGAGAAACTTGCTTCTTCTCTGAAGTTTCCATTGAAGAAGTTGTTTGTCGTTGATGGATCTACAAGGTCAAGTCACAGCAATGTGAGGATTTAAATCTTGTACATTTAATGAGCCTTTCTAAGAAGAAAGATGTATCATTGCACTTCTAGTCAAAAGTGTAAAACTTTGTGCTGTTTTCTACATGCTTCTTTGCTTTTTTGTTAACTAGTAGTAGTAAGGCAAGGCATACTCCTAGTAATTACCATTGTTAACCTTCTTCGCATTAAGAATTAGGAATAGAGAAACTAGATGATAATCTTATTGCGCAAATTGTTTCAGTGGGTCCATTCATATGCTTTAATAATGCACCGAGGGCTTAGTGTGGAATGATCAGGCGCATGGTTTACTCCCATGTGGTCTGAGGTTCGAAACCCCCAAAGGTACCTACCCAGCTATTTGCTACTGTTTCCTGCCTTCCATAGCTTGTAGGGTTCGGCATGGGGCCCCAGTTTCAAAGCTGTGTCCGCTTTGCGGATGGGTGGATTTCTGGGTTTTAAAAAAAAGGCTTTAATGATGCACCTGCATTTCGTTGACTTCATTCATGTTTGTTATATTTACTTTGTTCTGAACTGTGTTAATACTGTGGACTTACTCATCTTTACCAATCACGATTCAGGCCTACATGTATGGATTTTTTAAGAACAAGAGAATCGTCCTCTACGATACATTAATTCAACAGGTGAGGAGGCATTACTTTTTGAAATATTTGTTCTTTGTTTTCCAATAAGTATTTTATCCTTTTATCTTGCAGTTTCTTGAACTTTTTATGGAACGAAAAAGGATAATTATTTTAAGGTTGTTGCTAATGGGACGTATAAATATCAGTCAAAAATCATCTTGATTGCCTTCTCCCCAATCTCTTATCTTTAATTGTCTAATTTATTATTTGGTTACTGTGGCTGTATAGTCCCTTTGAATGCAAAAAGGTGTTGATGAGAATATTTGATGGCTTGCAGTGCAAAGATGATGAGGAAATTGTAGCTGTTATAGCTCATGAGCTAGGCCATTGGAAGCTTAATCACACAATGTATTCATTTATTGCTGTGCAGGTATGCTGTAAATTTTTGTGCAAATTGGATCACTGTTTGATCAATTTTATTGATAATTTAGAATGCTCAACTCCAATATCCTTATTTTTTGGTGATATTGAGTTGGGTGTGATGGCCTGTCCTTATGTGAATAGCTACTCACCACCTAGGCCACATAAGGCAAACTAATGACGTTTCAGGTTGAATCTGAGTTAGTTCTTTAAATGATGTTGTCGGGTTGCTTTATGATTTTTCTCTTTTGGTGCAGATCCTTACATTTTTACAGTTTGGGGGATATACTCTTGTGAGAAACTCAAGTAGTCTGTTTCAAAGTTTTGGGTTTGATACCCAGCCAGTAATCATTGGACTTATCATATTTCAGGTATGCCAATTTCCTTGTATTCTTATATCATCGTGATCTTTTGGTTTCTGAATACTTAATATTATAGAAATTGAGTACTATAGACTGCATGTGTCCAGTTTTTACTCTTTTGCGAACATGTACAACTGTACATCATCCTTATGGAGTTCTTGACTCGTGAGAAACTCCTATAATTTTGCTAACCTTGAAGTAGTCAATTATTTCTCTGCTATATTAATATATATAGTAGTCAATTATATCTCTGATATATTAAAATATATGCTTTTTTTATTATTATAAAGTATTATTTCTCTGTTGAAATGACATTTACAAGATTTATATGTTAAGGAAGATAATGTTTTATCCCAACATCTGCATAATATATTTTGACCCCACGTTGTTGTTTGCAGCACACCATAATACCTCTCCAGCACCTAGTAAACTTTGCTCTTAACCTTGTGAGCCGATCATTTGAATTTCAGGTAAATCTGTACTTCATCAATTACCTCTTTCATTTGTTTTATTTTTCTCCTTGCATCACTGGATCTTTTATTTATCATATTTATTTCTCTGTAGGCTGATGCTTTTGCTAAGAGGCTTGGTTATGCCTCTGCACTTCGAGCTGGTCTTGTTAAACTACAGGTAATTTATCTAATTTTCCCCTCTCATTTAGACATTAATTGATCTGTTCTATTTATTGGATAGCTCTGCACTTAGAAGGCTGTGAACTCAAAATCATGAACGGCATTTCAAAGTTAACCTGTAACTAAAACTTATATTGTGATCCCTTTTCACATTGTTGATTTTTCTGAGCCATTTTATCTTCCATGATTAAGTTCTGACTTATGGTGATGCGTTGGCCAAATAGTACAGACAGATGAATGTGCCCCAAATAAATATGGCTGCCAGGATTTATTTATGATTGAATTATATTTTATCATAGACAGATGAATGTGCCACAAATAAATTTGGCTGCCTGGATTCATTTATGATCGAGTTATTAATATATTTCTGTCATCTACAGTGTTTCTAAATTAGTTGATTTAGGTGACTGCGTTTGTACTTTTACCTTGTTGCTAAAACAGTTTGCATTACTAAGTGGGGTTTAATGGTTTTGCAGGAAGAGAATTTGTCAGCCATGAACACTGATCCTTGGTACTCGGCATATCACTATTCTCATCCCCCACTTGTCGAAAGGTTGGATGCAATCGATAAACCGGACAAGAAAGCAGACTGATGTGGGAAACCTTATGGATGATGAACACGGATCCAATTCATCAATCTCAGTTGACAAAGAGCACTGTCCTCGTGATTGTTGACGGCTGTTTTGTTTACTTTATTCGTTTAAACTCATTGTGTATCCACATATCCGTAGCTCAAGTACTCTACCGTTTTTACTTACTAGAACAGGATGGGGTTTACAGTGAATCAGTGATGGGGGAGAAGAATGAACGAATATAGAAGTGAACCAGAAACAATCGAATCTTGTTACATGTATAATGTTCGCATGACCTAACAGTTAGAACAGCTCTTATAGCAGTTGCTTTCTGCCCTGTTGTATCTTGATATTTTATTTTCCTAGAAATTGCACGATAGTATTTGTTAAGCATGTGTTGGATTGGAATTCTAAGGTTTTCCGCAGGCATTGTTGAACTCCTTTTACGGGTGCTTTGTATTTTCTGCCCAACTTGTGCGTAAAATGCTGAAGTCAATTGAAGAATATATTTTCTTTTAGAGGTTCATAGATAACACGAGACAGAGAAATAGCAAACATGTGAAAACTGCAAATTGATTTTCTTGTCTCTTTGGTGCATCAACAGTAAATTAGCTGTGACCTTAAAGTGTTTATAGATTAATGCTTTTTGAAATTTTAATGAATTTTTTGTTGCGCTTCCAACAAAAGTACTTATGAGCGCTAAGTATTCCGAACTGGGCTGGCTCTAAAAAACACCTAAACTTTGAAGATGGAAGCACATAGCGAGGGCATGATGATTATTTTGAAGTGCTAATAACAATTCTATTTGCTATTCGTGTCCATACAAAGAATCCCAAATCATGCTCCTGACTGATTAATAATCATAAAGGAGATGATCATCACTAAAATTAACAATAAAGAAAGAGGACACTTTGGCGCAATCATTTGTCATGTCCAATAATCCATCTTCATTGATTAAGCCAAAACCTGAAGGAAACCCAACTGTCACAACAAGACACAAAAATAACACTGAAAAAATCAATTTTCAAATTCCATGATGGGTCATCACGCTGCTGTCCACGCAATTCCAATAGGGATTTCCACTATTTAGTGGTGCTTATTAGCTTTTGTTTCACAACTTTTTTGTTACCTAGTCTCAACTCAAATCAATTAGAATATAAATATAAGATTCTCATTACACCACTTGCAATTTGCAACATGCCCTTACAGTCTTGTTGCAGTGACAGAATAGCCATCAAGCACTTTCTCACTCCATAAGTAACTCTGTCCGTGGTGATAAAAGTCGTTGTGTGGGACTCCTTTGTGGTGCTTTTGTATTAATTTATTTTATAATGATTGATTCTGATAAATATGGAATAAACTTCTTCTTTTTTTTTTTGGTCAAATAATATGGAGACTGAAAAAATGCCAAATTTTCGCACGTGATTTCTTTTCTACTGATTAATCAACCAATTTAATTAAGGTGATAATTTGTAAAAGATTTCAAGAAGAAAACATTATTCAATACATAATAGTTTATGAAAGAAAAATACTTATCTTATTTCTCTGAAAGTAGGAATTTCTACTTTCACACCGATCACAGTTTACTTTATATGCATAAATTTTCATTTTGTATTTTTAATAAATTATTTTTTATATATGTGTTAAACTGTAATTTACGGAAAGAATAAAGAGAGATAATTTCTCTTGTGAAATTATATTTAGTTATAACTTTACCTGTAACCTAGCGATAAAAAAAATGAATATTGAGTGAATTGTAAACTTACAACTTACTATGGTCAAACCTTTATTTTACCAATACAAAGCACCAAAATTTAAAGGTCATTGCATGTGTGCATGACATATCCTAATGTCTTATAAGTGAAGTTAACAAGTCTTGAGAGTTTCTATTTCCAACATCTACATGATGATAGATTCTCTATCTGAAACTTCCAACACAAGAATGCTAAACAGTTCCATGAAAAGACGAAAAAACAAATCCTTTGCTAGCCCAACCTAATATGTACACGTATATATAACGGTCACTTTTTGGCCATAGATTACCTTGTCCTTTTTCCCTACTGAAAACTAAAGTAGGTGAGAGTGCATTCATTTACTATGTTGCAAACTCTCCCTCTGATTTGAGGCTGAAATCATACCTAATAATTACCAGTTTCACTAACAATTACACTTCCTCAATAAGGAAACATTAACATTAGGAGTGCAATTTCGGTAGACTCAATTTCCAAAAAGAACACATTTGGGTTGTACCCATTTAGTCTTAAGCTCAAGTGAATGGTTCAATAGAGCATGAAAATAAATCAAGAAGATATTGACTTAAACATACTCGGGTTGGGCGGTACTTTTCGTTTCACCTAATGTTAAGATATCCACATTTTGAACCTACATTCATGATTAACAAAATGAAAAGGTAAACACAATTTCAGCTTAAATTGAAAGTTGGTATACATTTCAATCCACCCGATTTATATTTGAATACACACAAGTCAGTTTATCTTTCAATTAACAAGCATAATTGGTCACGAATCGATATTTAAATACACACAAGCCGGTTTACCTTTCAATTAACAAACATAATTGGTCATGAATTGATATTTGAATCCACATAAGATATATTTTCATTAATATTACATCCCCTTTCAAATATAACTCTTAGCACCTAACCTTAATGCGTTTTGAAAAATTCAAAAGATTTTTTTTTCCAAATTCAAAAGACTAATACAAAACAAAATCCATCTATTTCAAAAAATCCCTTCAAATACAATTAATGTTAGTAAATGCTTTGCTTGATAGCTCAAGATAAAAATTCACTCTACAACCACCATTTGGAAGCAAAGCCAGCAACAACCAAAAAAAGAGCCAGTGAGGCTCGCTCTGTCTCGGACAAGGGACACATACGTCATTACATAAATTTTCAAGGACTTAAAAAGACCAACTAAAAAAAATAAAATTAAGAAATAACCACAGATTGACAGATCATTTCTTACATTTATACACCTCCCACTAAATCTCGAGCTTCCAAACTCTCTCTATCTGGAAAACTTGTATGATTCTCCGATCGCCGGAAAATCAAACTCCGGCGACCCAATGCGACCAAACCCACAACCCAAGCATCTATCTTTCTGAGCTTTCTTTTCGATACACACAATGTCAGTGTACGACGCTGCTTTTGTGAACACGGAGCTCTCGAAACCGACGTCAATCTTCGGGCTCCGGCTCTGGGTCGTCATCGGAATCCTAGTCGGGTCTCTGATAGTCCTGACCCTCTTCCTCCTCTCGCTCTGCCTCACCTCGCGCCACCGCTCCAAGGCACACAAGGCCCAGCCCAAGCCCACCACCGACTCGCCCACTCCAGTGATATCGAAAGAAATCCAGGAAATTGTTCACGACCTCCATGTCGAGATCGGGAAGCCGGACCACCGGGTCGTGGTGTATTCGGACCGCGCGTCGAGTGGGGAGAGTAAGGGGACTTTGAATAGTGGGTGTGAGACGGCATCGTATGGGAGTGGGAACGTGGTGGGGCCAGAGGTGTCGCATCTGGGGTGGGGGAGATGGTACACTCTGAGAGAGCTTGAGGCGGCCACCAATGGTCTCTGTGAAGAGAATGTGATTGGGGAAGGTGGGTATGGGATTGTTTACAGTGGGATTCTCAGTGATGGGACTAAAGTCGCTGTTAAGAACTTATTGAATAACAGGTACTCGAAAAAGACTCTGTTTTTTGTTTATTTATTTATAAAAGATGAACATTTTATGTGTACTTTGTGGTTTCTGGTGGTTTTATGATTAGGCAAGATTTGATGATAAATTTTGATTTTTTAATTGGCCATGGATTGGAATTCCTAGTTTGTAAATCTCTGTTTCGGTTGCTGAATAAGCAAAAATGAAAATTTTGAGAGTTTTTGGCTTCTTCATTTTTGGGTGTTCAAATTGCAGAACCTTACTAAAACAGGAAAGCTCAAAACTAAAACTAGAAGGTTTTTCTATTCGTTTTTATTTTTATTTTTTTTAATAATTCCTAATTGGCGTTTGGATATGTCTGATTATCATTGTATCATTTTTAGTTATAATGATAGAAAGATGCATTAGTTATAAGATAACCGTATGAAGTTGACTTCATGTTTGCGGAGTGAAATTTTTTCCTGTAATTCTATGAGTTTCAAGTTTTTTAAAGATTTATGTTCTTACATTTTCTCGGCAACAATCAGAGTACCTCTCTGTTGGTTAATTTTATGGGTGGTTCACTCACTGTTTACCTCTCTTTTTTGGTTTGATTCCCTTTCTGCTTGTTATTCTTGTCTTGCGTCTGTTAGAATTGGTGCTGTAAAGTCACATGCTTTCTGAAAAGAGGAACCTTCTTTTTTTCAAGTTCCTTGTGCTTATAGTCAAGCTTGAATTCATGATGTAGTACGTAGGCATCAGAATAAGTTTCTCTCTCTACTCTCTCGTCACACATTGACTAATTCACTTATCCCAAATTTCTTTTTGTTGTCCTTTTGCCTCTGTTCGTACTGTTTAGTGTATCACTGCTATAGCCAGCAATTAACGGATGGTACTTTGTGCCTTGGATTTTGGGTATCTCATTATCTTTTATACGCGTGAGTAATGCATTTGCTTATGACACCGATTGATTATCAGGGGTCAAGCTGAGAAGGAGTTTAAAGTGGAGGTGGAAGCAATTGGACGTGTGAGACACAAAAATCTTGTAAGGTTGCTGGGATACTGTGTTGAGGGTGCATACAGGTACTAATAATTCATCCTACAATTTGAGTTTTGAGTTTGTGTTTCTTGTGGAGTGTCTTAGAGATGTCATAAAACTTCTGTTTTTGTTTTGTTTCAGGATGCTTGTGTATGAGTACGTTGACAATGGCAATCTGGATCAATGGCTTCATGGGGATGTTGGTGAAGTCAGTCCGCTAACTTGGGATATCCGTATGAATGTTATACTGGGAACAGCAAAAGGGTACTAAGATCATATTAGTTTCACATGTTTCTTCTTTTTCTTTCTTAATTAAAAAAAAGAAAAAGAAAATCCTTATTCATGCTCTTTTGTGTTTCCTCATTGTGCAGGTTGGCCTATCTTCATGAGGGTCTTGAACCAAAGGTTGTTCATCGTGATGTGAAATCTAGCAACATACTAGTTGATCGCCAGTGGAACCCCAAAGTATCTGATTTCGGGCTTGCTAAGCTCCTTTGCTCGGAGAACAGTTATGTGACAACTCGGGTGATGGGAACGTTTGGGTTAGTTTTTCATTTTTTTAATTTTAAAATTATTTTTTGATTAACCTAAACATATGCATCAAGGCTCATGTAGTTATGTTCTTAAAGTTTGAAAATAAATCTTATATTTGGTGGTTTCTTTAGTTATGTTGCCCCAGAATACGCTTGCACGGGAATGCTGAACGAAAAGA